GTTCTTACATGTAATGATGTATTGCATAGGTATTATATGGATTTGTTACATGAATAAGGGTATGAGTGATAGCAGTAAGTGTTCATGCATGATTACAAGCTATAGTTTATATTACATGTTTATTTGCCTCACTAAGTCATAGACTTAGCGTGTGATTGTTTCACACGTAGGTTGCAGAAGTAAGAAGAGTAAAGAGCAAAGTGGAGCAAGACATGTCAGTTACTTCTTACCGAAGATCAGATCAGAAAAGATGTCTTGAATTAGATGTATTTTGTATATTGAAAATAGTTGGCATGTAATTAATGTTTTGAATTGTATATACTCTGATCGGTTTTGCAAAAACATTTAAGCTCTGAATAGTTCTGGAAATCTTTTGAATAAGTTACATGTATAAAAGTTTTAAATTACTCACTATTTTATACAAGTAAACGTTTTGAAAAGTCAATGTGACACCTCGGATTCGGGTACGGGTTGAGGGTGTTACATCTCGTGTTATACCAGCTCCTTCCCCAAGTCCTCGGCATTTGATCCCAGTAGGTGGAGCTGATATGATGGCACAACTAGATTCAGATGGCCGGATTTCATCCTCTGGAACTTTTACTGTTCTTTCGTACAACATTTTGTCAGACACATATGCTAGTAGTGAGTTGTACAGTTATTGCCCTTCATGGGCTCTTTCTTGGCCATATCGCCGACAGAACCTGTTGAGGGAAATTGTTGGCTATCGTGCAGACATTGTTTGTCTTCAAGAGGTGATACTTCTGTACTGTTTGATGATAGTTCTTTCAGAACTTCCATTTTTTAACTTAAACACAGCTTTGAAGTTTAATGCATGGCAAAAACTGTATGTTTAATGTTTATATTACATTTTGGGTGGAAATATCCAACATGGTGCAGGTTCGTTGGTCTTAATTTAGATGATGGTCTAAACTGTTGTAATCTTTCCAGGTGCAAAGTGACCATTTTGATGATTTCTTTGCTCCTGAGCTGGATAAACATGGGTATCAAGCTTTATACAAGAGGAAGACAAATTAGGTTGCTGAAGATTTCCCTGGTTCTCATCACACTAATTTAGTGATATTACTCTTCCGTTTGTAATTTATATCGTTTGTGATGCAGGTTTACAGTGGAAATATCCATACAATTGATGGTTGTGCTACATTTTTCCGTAGAGATAGATTTTCTCATGTTAAAAAATACGAGGTTTGTAAGTGCTTCTAATGTGATATGTGGATTTTTACATGTTCGTGCTAAATCAAATAGTCTTTTGCAGGTTGAATTTAATAAGGCTGCTCAATCCTTGACTGAGGTTGCAGTTCAAACTACTCGGAAGAGAGCTACTTTAAATCGTTTGGTTAAGGTAATAAATGTTTATCGCTAAGATTTATATTTTCTCTTACGGTATCAATTCCTCTAATGATATCTTGTAAATTCTTCTTGTCTGCAGGATAATGTTGCACTAATTGTGGTTTTAGAAGCAAAGTTTATTAATCAGGGAGCTAACAATCCTGGGAAGCGGCAGCTTCTTTGTGTGGTAAGAATTGTTAATTTATATTTTGCTATACTTTCCTAACTTTCTCCATTATTGCTTGTAATTCGCATGATACAGTATTTTATGTGGTGATCGTTATCTGAGATTAAAAAGATGTTGGGACTATTTAGTCTTATAGTTTTAAATCCAACTAATTGCCTAGTTTCCCTGGGTTCCATCCTATATAATCAACAATGAATTTCATTAGCAAGTTTAGCACAAGTTGTTGCCGATGTTGTAGGAGTAACATTTTCCGAGTCCAAAGTAGTTTGTCTGGTCCCACAAAACTGAAATTACCTAATTTGTTGCTATCTAGTCCTGTCAATTGGTCTGATCGACAGGTTAGTTCATCACCTCATGTAGATCATATAGAGACGTGAACAATTCTGTGTGCTGCAGTTAGCGGGCTTTTATTCTAAAAACTGTTGTAATGCATTCAAATTGGCCAACACGTATCTTCAGAAAAAAAATGATTTTTGTTCCGTCCCTTAAAAGATATAATTGGCCTGCTGAAAGTTTGCTTTGAATAATAATATATTTTTGCAATTAAAAGTATCAGATTCCTATGAAACTTCCTCTTATTTCATTATGACTAACAAAGTATAAATGGGATTTGATTGATAAGATCTCTACCTTTCATATGTGGTTTGTATTTTGTATTTTTTAGTCTCCCTATCTTTGCTCCTTTCAACTTTCAATCTCTGATACTTCATGGAAATGCTTCTTTCTGGAAGTTGGCTACTATTCTTTTCTTCTTTTTTCTTTTTTTGACGTTTTGGGCTACTATTCTGCACATTCATGAAAGGAAAGACATTTAAATTACTGTTTTTACTTGCTTATTTATATTCTTTGCAACACTTCCATGATATTCAAGTGCATCATGTAACTGTTCCGACAATTCCTGGCTTTTGAATACAGGCAAACACACATGTTAATGTTCAACAAGAGCTAAAAGATGTTAAAATCTGGCAGGTTCTAAAATTTCTTTTATCTGTATAATTATTTATACATGCATGTATGTATAATTCAAAAGAATTACTTATATTTTGTGTAATGTTAAATTAGGTGCATACTCTCTTAAAGGGGTTGGAGAAAATAGCTGCAAGTGCAGACATTCCAATGTTGTTGTGTGGGGATTTTAATTCAGTTCCTGGGAGGTAAGTCTGTCCTTTGTATCATTTTTAGAATATTTAGTGCTTCAGATCAATTTCCTTATTGCTTCAGAGCCATCTTTTTTTTTTCGCATTAGACTTTTGCTTAATTAGCATGCTGTGGAATTTTATGCAGTGCTCCCCATTCACTTCTTGCTATGGGAAAGGTAGATCCACTGCATCCGGATTTAGTTGTTGATCCTCTTGCAATTTTGCGTCCTTACAGCAAGTTGACTCATCAGTTGCCACTGGTAAACTTTCTTCCATTAATGAACCTGCTCTAAGCGGTCCATTGTGTTTTTCTAACAATGTTTTAATGGGGTTTTAAGAAAGCAATGGAAACAGTATTTTGTTGAATGGGGCTAGATTTTGCACGAAATTCAGGGGTTTTGTTTGACAAATTAAGGTTTTCAAACAGGTTAGTGCTTACGCTGCCTTCCTAAGAGGAGTTGGTCTTGGTTTGGAACAGCAGAGAAGAAGGATGGACCCAACAACTAATGAACCTTTATTTACAAATTGCACAAGAGATTTTATCGGCACCCTAGATTACATATTGTACACTGGTAGGTTAATTCCTTGAAACAATTGGCTTCGTAAATGGCGCACATACAGTTTTTTTATGTTTATGAATGCCTTTTCTCTAGATGTTTGATATCATATTAGTGATTGCAGTTTGCTTACGAGTATTTGGCCTTGTACTTTCAGCGGATTCCTTAACGGTGGAGTCATTATTGGAACTTTTGGATGAGAATAGCTTAAGAAAAGACACAGCCCTTCCTTCTCCAGAGTGGTCCTCTGATCATATAGCTTTATTAGCTGAATTTCGGTATGTGCCTAGGCCTAGACGCTGATACTGTAAGGTATGCAGTTAACTCCCTTCATTTTTAAGTTTGACAACAATATACTACTGAGCTGTTGTAAGATAAAGGCATTAGTCTCTTTTCAGGCATCATATATACACGTGAAGAGCCTCTATACATGGCTTTTGAGATCTCCTAAAGGATTTGTTTGCTTGCGTTGTTTAGGTCTTGAAGATGACCAAGAAATAGGGTGAGAAATTCCGATGAGTTATATATTTTAAGAAATGGTAGATGAAGCTCCTTGTGTTGCAAGGTATCTCTATCAGGGATCCCCTTGCTGTGATCATATTTAAACTACACCTTTGTTTCATAGAAAAATCATGATGGCCTTTTTCTTTGTTTTTCCAATGGAAATGCCCACTCGGTATCCTCTGTACTTCAAATTTATCTGCAAAAGAGAAAAAGTGGTTCTCCGTTAATGTCAAGTTTCATGTTTCATTTTGGTCTCCAAGTAATAACATTCTTTTATTTTGGTTCCTTTTTTCTCCTTTCTTACATTATTTGTGAGAAAATTGAAAGTAATGGTCACAAAGTCATTTCAGCTTTGATGGACATTGGACGAGCTTCGGAGATTCCATTACATATCTCCATGTGAAGATGCCAATCCACATACTGGGCTTATTACATGAGTTTTCTTTAGATTCACAACTCTCAAGAGACCAAGAGGAACTGTCCTTTCATGTAAAAATGAAAAAGTGCCCACGGTTCTAGTTATTCAACTATTAAATAGATTATTGTATTATCATATGAACTTTCATATTTGAACTTGCATCGTTCTTTTTAATATAAAGTAAATGTATAGCATGATTAAACTAAATAAAAGAGCCAACTCGATAAAGAGCGGCAGGATCATCCATTTTCTGCTAAAGTTGATGTGAAATACTCGTGTATTTAGTTTAGTGTCAAAAGAATGCAGCAAATGTGAGACGGCATGACTTTTTACGTTAAAGATTTTCCGTGTTCTTCGATCTTAACGCGTTCCATCCAATATTTATTAGATTGAATTAAAAAACATTACAGTTATTATAACAAGGTTGTAAATTGTATAATTTTTAGAGTAAATATATAACATAACATTCTCAGTTGTTATAATATTTTAGGTTGAATATTGTAATATCTTAAAATCTATCACAAACTAACTTTAGGTTAGGTCACCACGTAGCATAACCCCCCAGATACGAGGGGAGAAAAAGAGAAGAAATGTATGTTTTGCTTTCACGTTAATAATGCGTCATATCGCTAAAAGGAGCATGCGGAAGTGCAGACGATGCACCCAAGCCCAAGATTTCATATATCAGTAATCAGCCGACTGGCTAAACGGCTAGTTTCCTAGTGGATGGACCCAGATGCAAATGTAAACTGTGAAAACAGTGAGAATAATCCTTGAAATCTGACAGAATATACACATATAATCGAGTGAAATACGAAAAAAAAATATAATTCAGTATAAAGGGAGGTCTAATCCCATGCACTTGCCACCCCCGGGGCATATCCTCCACCATAATTCCCAGGAACTTTATATGCACTGCTACCATTCCCTCCAACTAAGCCGTAGTGATCCAGATTCCTACCATATGAACCCTCCCTCCTGAAATCACGCCCACCAAAACGCCCTCCTCCATATCGCCGGGTTTTGCTACCACCATAATGAGCTCGAGATGCATATCGGGTGAGCCATGCAGGAACCTCTTGACTTGCTTCTTGCATTAGCTCAGCTAGTGGCCTAGCCAGTGACGATTTGCCTTCATTAAAGAAAGCTGTTGCCAATCCTGTTTTACCAGCCCGACCTGTCCTTCCAATCCGATGAACATAATCATCAATGTCATTGGGAAGGTCAAAGTTAACCACGTGAGCTACATCAGGTATATCGAGACCACGGGCAGCCACGTCAGTTGCTACTAAAATTGGTGTCTTTCCGCTCTTGAAAGATCTCAATGCTAGTTCCCTTTCCTGCATAACAGGATTTATTTAAAGACACATTCTTTCTAGAATAGGCTAAATGCATATAGCATATTGCAACACATCTCAGACAAGATTTCAACTAAAGAACTTGTCCTACTGACTAGTGCAACTTCTTACATCGGGACTTGATCAGACACACGAAAGTTAGTAGCCCCTTAGATACTTGAATTTTAAGTCAAATAGATGTAATCTTACTTCACTTTAGAAGATGTCTTTTTAACAATTACCTGTTGAGTTCTATCACCGTGGATGATGGTTGCTGGGAATCCATTAATGCACAACCAATGCTCCAATGAGTCGGCTCCTTTCTTAGTCTCCACAAAAACTAATGTCAAAGTTTGCTGCAAGGTAAGAGACACACACCGATCAACAACTTTTAAATATCATCGACCTATATAGATTAAATCTGACTAGACAGAGCAGAATCAGCATCCTGAATGGTAATTAATTAATTATATATGAACAAATATATCCAGTAATTAACTCTAATCCAAAGGATAAATGAACTTCAATAAGCAAGTCCATTCATGATAGTCTCACATTACCTTGCTATGGGCTACATTTTCTCTCTGTGCATGCAGAAGATCCATGAGATGGCTTCTCTTGTCAGACTCTTGAACAAATTCGACCCTTTGTACAATCAAATCCGTGCTAGAACCAACCCTCCCAACAGCCAAGAATATGTAATTTGAAAGAAAATCAGATGCAAGCCTCTGCACAATTAGCAATTGACAAAGGAATTATGCGATCCAATTTGGATAATCTTTCTTTTAATTATTGAAAATTCACAATCAAGTTAATTCAATAGAGAAACCCTATTTAACAGTTATAACCAACCTGTATCTCTATTGGAAAGGTGGCACTAAACAACATTGTCCGTCTCATGCCCCGATCAGGCATGCCCATTTGTTCCACTATCTTTCTGATTTGTGGCTCAAAACCCATATCAAGCATGCGATCTGCCTCATCAAGCGCCAAGTACCTTATCATCTGCAATGACACTCTAGCCCTCTCAAGCAAATCGACCAAGCGCCCAGGAGTTGCCACTAGAATATCAACTCCTCTCTCCAACTCTCGCAACTAAGAAATAAAGTATTAGTATGCGGGAATAAAAATATCAGGTATTCAGAAATAGAGGTCTGTAAGGAGACCGATAAGCCAGAAATCTCTAGAGAAGAAAGCAAACTACAACACGTTTTGTAACAAATCAACAACTCATTGTGTTAAAAACAGACGTGAACAAATATATGTTGCAGAGCATGAGACAGTAATTAAGAATTATGCATGTCAAATAACATAGAGAATGAATGATTAATTTGAGGCACTAGCAACCTGTTGATTAATTGGTGCCCCTCCATAGGCAACTACAACCTTGACACCAGTTTGGTAGGAGAACTTTTTTGCCTCGTCGTGTATCTGAAAATTGTAAAATCATCAGAAAAAAAAAGGGACATTAAACCATTCTTTAAAAATCAATGATCTAAGAATAAGAATCTCACTTGACAAGAAAGCTCCCTTGTGGGAGATAGAATGAGTGCAAGAGGGTAAACGGTCCGTGCTACACGCGGTCTCTGCACATACTGCTCCCGCATAATTCCACTAATAATCGGAAAGCAGAAAGCAGCTGTCTTCCCAGACCCTGTTTGAGCACAAGCCATCAAATCTCTTCCTCCCAATACAATAGGAATGGCGTGACGTTGAACCGGAGTCGGTTTCACATACTTGCATCTCCTAATGTTTTGATTCAATAGCTCCCCTAAATCTATCTCAGTAAATGTATTTACAGGCGGTGGTACGTTTTCACCACTAGTTTCCACGGGAATATCCTCGTATGCATCAAAATTGATCCCTGGATTCTCTTGTTCATTAAATGTATGGTCCGTAACATCAGCTTCATCACTGTCCCCAAAAGGGTTTACTTCCTTTTCTCTCCTATTCCGGCCACCAATTCTATTATTCCAACGGCCGCCGCCGCCTCGTCCAGCTCCAGCATAGCCATACACCTGACTCTGTCGCCCCATCTCGTGATTAGTCCTGCCACCGAGGCCGCCGCCGCCCATGCTTGACTGGGACCATTGGGACCCACCAGAAGCTCCGTTAAGACTTGTCCTCTCAGGACTGGGTCCTGAGAGGTTAGGTGTGTCGGAAGCAGGACGGTTACGAAGGTGGGGCGGAACATAAGTGGCTCGTGTTGGGCGACGTAAGGAATTGTTGTCTGAAACAGCAGTTTCAGACGCAGACTTTGCAACAGAATCTGCCCATGAAGTACTCATATTTCCCCCAAACCTACGAAAACCGTAAAAATCCTAACAAAAACCTAATCGAACAAAACCCAAATTTTAAAATTCTCCAGAAAGTCTTCTTTATATTCTCCTTCTTGTAGATCAGACCTTAACAATGAAAATGCAAGCAGAGTCGACAAATAAACAAAATGAAGCTACAAGAACCAAATATTTCTAGAAAAAGAAGAGTACGAAAAATATCAATCAAAAACAAAAGAACACAAGAACTGATGAGAAACAGCAGAAACCAGGTTGAAATATCTTCAGGAAGCTGAAAAAATGGGATGCCTTGATTTTTTAGTGTTGTTTACTTTACGGGTCTTTCTAGTTTCTATGCTTTTTCTTTTGCTTTGGTGTTTGCATTCAGCTAGAAATCTAAAGCATCCAAAAATCTAAAAAAGGTCGTTTGGTGACCAGCCAATTTGGGGCTTGCGTCGTAATTAAAAGGATTCTCCTTAACATGTGGTAGGGATGGACCCGAATCTGACGGGAAGCCCAAAATTCAGTCAAATTCGGGTCGGGTTTGGTTAAATGATATCGGGTCGGAGATTTTTTTGAGAATTTTTTCGGGTCGGGTTCGGTTCGGGGCAAAGTATTCCGCCCTGATTATATATATATATATATATATATATATATAATATTTTATATTTTTATATTAATTATATATATATAATATTTTATACTTTTTATATTAATTATATATAAAATATTTTTGGGTTCGGATATAATATTTCAGGTTGAGTTCGGGGACGGGATAACAAATCCCCGACTAGGTGCCCGATAAAAAACTCGTCGGGGATCAGGTCGGGATGAGAATTAATTTCGAGTTCGAGGATGTGACGAGCAAAACTCACCTCGAACTCGACCCGTTGTCATTCATAACATGCGGCGGTGTCTTATAATTACAAGGTCGTTTAATTTGAGAATTATTATTAAGTGGTGATGGATCTCTATCCCGGATAAATAATATGAAGGAAAAATTTTAGAATTGTGTAAATTTTAAATTATATATAAATTTAATGTGATGTAATGTTTTCTTTAAGGTTTAATTTAAAAAAATAATTACATACAAAAGTATCGCTTATAAATTAAAAAATAATTAATAGATTGATTGATTAAAGGTTAAAGATTCATTTATCTCTAAAACTCTAGCCGTTTTCTTCCTCTTCTTTTTTATTCTTTTTTTCACAATTTATGTTAATTTTATTAATCAATCCAATTTTTTCTTCTTTAATTTTGTTTAACTGGTTGCGGCACCGGTTTTAATATTGGTTGTCGTTCGTTGGTTATCTTTTTTTTAGTTTTTTAATAAGAATAAATATCTCTTTGTGATATGTTCTCTGCCTTTCTGGCACATTTATCTCTGCCTTTGTGGCATGTTTTTCTCTGTCTTTTGGTAGTTTATGGTGTTTTGTTGTTGTGTTTGTTTATCTTTTTTTCTCAGGGTTGGATTTGACATAGCCACGACTGATCAAGATGGCGCTTATTTGTTATCATGATATCTTCCCTGCTTTAGACCCTTGGATTGATTTGGATACGCCTTTTGTATTCGTGGATAGTTTTCTCACATTGTTTAACTCTGATTTGCAATTTATCGGTGATCTTTCAGTAGCTTCATCCCCTTTTGTAGTTTATTTACCGATGCAGTTGGATTTGTTTGTATCTTTATTTTATTCGAGTTTTTTTGTTAGGTTTTTAACATTTTCTTTCTTTGGTTCTTATGTGATCTAGTTGGCTAGTTTTTGTCTCGATGGTAATAAGAAAATGTCATGATTATATTTTAGGTTTAATGTTATGTTTATAAATCTTCATTGTAGTTTTGGATATTTTTATTTTTAATAAAACAAACGACTTTCTATAATAAAAATTACAAAAATTTGCCTAAATTATATATCCTTCTTTTGTTGCCTCTCGTTTCCAAGGCTTCGCCTTGACTAATCCGAATCGACCCATGTCGCACATATGGCTTTGGTGGTACCTAAATTATATGTTTTAATCTCCTTTAGTGCCTAAACTTTTAAATTTTTTTTTTCAAAATCATACCTATTGTTTCATTTTAGTACTCTGCCGTTAAAAACTTAATGTGTTTAGTATCTAAACTATCAGTTTTGGTCCATTTTAGTATCTAAACTTTCAAATTTTTTCAAAACTTAACGTTAAATTTTGAATAGGTGTACTAAAATGAAGCAAAACTAAACATTATGTATGATTTTTAAAAATTGAAAGTCTAGGTGCTAAAATGAAACAAAACTGATAGTTTAGGTACTAAACGTGTAATTCATCCTATAATTTAACGTCCATATAGTTTAGAACCTATTTGGAAGAAAGCAATATAGATTAGGCACTTATTTTTAATTAGCGTAAACTATGCATTTAGTACCTAAACTATTAGTTTTGGTCTATTCTAGTTCCTAAACTTCTAATATTTTCAAAATCATACCTAACGTTTAATTTTTGTTTCATGTTAGTACCCCACTATTAAAAACAAAACGCACTCAGTACCTAAACAGTCAGTTTTGATTTATTTTAGTACCTAAACTTAAAAAAAAATCAAAACTTAACATTAAATTTTGAATAGGAGTAAATGAAACAAATACTAAACTTTAGGCACGGTTTTCAAAAAATTAAAAGTTTAGATACTAGAATAGACCAAAAATGATAGTTTAGGTAATAAATACGTAATTTACCCTTTTAATTAAGCCTTTATTAAAACTATTTTAGTTGTATTGTCAGTTTTATGGGTGTTCAAATCCAGATATTTGCATTTTTGGGTACCCGGGATATTCGAGTACTAAAATATCAGCCAGGGCACGAACCCATTAAGTTTGTGTACCCATTAAACCTGGTTATCTATATTTTAGGGTCACGGATACTTGATTTATATTTATATTTTATTTTTTTCTTTAAATTATATTATTTTTTAAGAAAAATACATAGAAAAATACTAAAAAAATTAAAAGTTTATAATGCTTACTTCACTCATAAATTTTAAAATTATATAATTAAAAAATTAAATTAATTAAATATAAAATTAAATAAATATAATTATATTTAAAATATTTTGAAGTTAAAAGAAATAAATTAGATTGTTTAAGTAAAATAATTTAAGAAATTAAGAATTTAGAATTTAGAATGTTAGGGTGATATGATATGATATGATATGATATGATATGATATGATATGATATGATATGATATGATATGATATGATATGATATGATATGATATGATATGATATGATATGATATGATATGATATGATATGATATGATATGATATGATATGATATGTGTTAAAAACATTTTGATGTTTCGATATAACAAATTAAGTTTAAATAAATTTTAAGATTTTACAAATGATTTTCTAAGTATATTCGATTCAATTAATCGAATATCAAATTATTACTCTAAGTATTTCAAGATCAATTTTAAACCTTACTAAATGTGTAAAATTATGTTTTATACTTAAACTATTTTTGAAACAATTTTCACAAAGTATTTTGAACCAAAATCAAGTCTAAAATTAATTTTTCAAAGTAATGCACCGATGCACCAATCCATGCATCGATGCACTATGGATTAAATTGAACATCGAATGCATTTTATGCATCGATGCATATACCATGCACCGATGCACTCAGTGCATTTGATGCATCGATGCACAAGACCATGCATCGATGCACTCAGGCTTTTTCAAAACATCGAATGTATTTTATGCATCGATGCACACTTGGTGCACTGATGCACTAAGTGTTCCAACGGTCAAAATATTTGAATTTTACACTGATGCACCTTGGGTATGCATCGATGCACTGACGCTCCCAACTGAATTTAATTAATTGTTTTCACACTTAAACGGCTCTATTGACTCCACTAAGCATCCCCAACGTTCAGAATCATTTTAAGGTGTATTTAAACAAGCTTAGAAGCCATTGATCAACAACTAGAAACAACAATCAACAAGAATCAAGAGAGAATCAAAGAGAAAGCATCAAACCTCAAGTTTGAACATTTCAAGCCTATTTTTCATTCAATATTCATTTTGCTTTCAAGAACACTACTTGTACTCAAGTGTATTCATTTTTTAGTGTTCTTTTCTTTGTTCTAGAATTGTGCAAACAATCTACCTTGTGAGGATTTCCTTGTAAGTTTGCAAATTTCTAATCTTCTCTTTGAGAAAGAGCGTTCTCAAGAATTGGGGTATATTCTTGAGGGAGTTGTAAGGTTATCTCTTTGGCCTCAAAAGAAAGAACAAATTAGTGAATTTGTTGGAAAATCCTTAGTGTGGATAGCTAAGGTAGTGGACGTAGACTTTGATTGAGAAAGTCAAACCACTCTAAATCGTTGTGCGATTACTTTCAATTTTCTGCAAAAGCTTCCACCAAAATTTTAATTGCCAATTCACCCCCTCTTGGTTGATTCTGTCGATCGATTAACTCAACAATTGCTATCAGAGCCTCACTCATTTGAAGGTTTCATCACCTCTTGAGTCGATTCGAGAAGAGTTACATCGATTGTTAAGTCATCAATGGCCTCTACTTCAAATGTCGACTCCGGTCTCGATTCGATGCCCGTCAATAAGCCTCATTTCTTCAATAGAGCTAATTATGCCTATTGGAAGAATAGGATGATGTATTTCATTCAAGCAAGTGACATGGGAGCATGGAATGTTGTAGAAGACGGATATATCAAGCCTCTCACTCATCCAAGATTGTGGAGTGAATGAGAGACAAGAATGTTCCAGGTCAACTCCAAAGCAATCAATATCATATTTTGTGCTCTTGAACCAGATGAATATGGAAGAGTTTCATCTTGTACAACCGCCAAAGATATATGAGATAAACTACAAGTCACACATGAAGGCACCGACGAGGTAAAATAATCTAAAATTAGTCTTCTAACACATAGCTATGAAAATTTTAGGATGAAACCAAATGAAGATATCAAAGCTATGACGGATAGATTCTCAACGATTGTCAATAGACTCAAATCATATGGAGAGATCATTCCAAATGAAAAGCTTGTGAGGAAGTTAGTTTACTCACTTCCAAAATCATGGCAATCCAAGAAGACTGCAATCATTGAGGCTAAGAACCTAAATTCCTTAACTCTTGAAGAGCTAATCGGTTCCCTCCTCACTCATGAAATGATTCTTGAAGATGAGGTGGACCTCGATAAGATTGACGAGACACCAAAGGAGAATGAGAAGAAGAAAAACATTGGAGTTTCTCTCAATTCCACAAAAGATGAGAGTGATTCGGATGAAG